CAGTCAGCCTGAATCTACAATGTGAGTGCGTACGCCCCAGAGCCGGGTCTAGTCCTGACCTACCCGGGATGGGGATGCAGGCGGCCATCCGTCCTGCGTTGAGGGCCGAGTGAGGGTCGTGCTCGAGCAGCCTGTACAGAGCGCCTTTCCCCTCTCCAAAACAGACTTCCTTCTCCCCACAGCCACGCACACTCACCATGTACTTCTTCTGCATCATGGCCTGGCCAGTGCTACAGGCCTCAGCCCTGGCTGGCACACACACACACACGCCACAGACAATTTGTATCAATCAGGGCATCAGATTATGCTATTAACTGCTTTAGAATCAGAGTGACAGGACGCTGAACGCCTGTTTGACTGCAGGTCCACAGCCTTACTCACCCATGCCCTTCTCTTTGTGTAGCCAGTCAACCAGCTGGTCACTGGAGAAGCTCTTTTTGTGTACTGTCAGCCCCTTCCTATGACTGCCAATCACATTGCCATGTTTGAAGTTCTCTACCAGGTCCGCCAACTCATCTCTCTCACACACAAACTCTGTGAGGGTCAGCGACATATGTACAAACACAGAAAATGTTGTTGGTGGGAAAGGTGGCAAATTAGTTTCATCAGGTCATAGCTTCTCCTTTTCTCTTTGGTTATTGTTTTTTTTCAGTGTTGCATCTACTATTTTTATTACTTTGTTGCTATGTATTTGTGACACTTTTGTTTTTGTTTACATTGTAGTACATCATTGTTTATTGTTCCATATGTAATTTCACACATTTTCTGATCCTTATATTTTGCTTGTTTTGTCTTTCCTTGTTTTATTTTAACTAGCTTTTCATTTTTGATGTTTTTGTGTAGACCCCGGGAAATAAAGGAATAATCCAGCATGGCTGTTCGGTTTCTTTGTATTTAAAGAAAGAAAGACCAAAGAAAAAAAACGTACCATAGAGTTTAGGACTATTTTACTTAAAAAATATATATATTTTTGCCCTTTTACCACACAACATGTGGTGAAACATATTTAAACAGGACATATCTTCACTATATCCACTTATTTGGATTAAAGAATTGGGAAATGACAGCATTGAATCAAAGTGGTTCATTCAGATTAACAACTTTGAGAGTCAGATTCTCTCCTAATAACACGGGGCTATACAGTGGCCTACATGCTCCTCATAGCAGCCAAATCTGGACAGAATTACTGAAATACGTCAACGGTATTATAAGAATTGTTTTAATCAAGACTGTCAAGGGAGTAAAAAACAGATGGAATGTGTTAACATAATGATATAATTCAAACGCAAATCTTACTCCACTAAGAGCTGTGTTTGTGTCTCTTTGGACAGACTTTGTTTACACTGTAGGAGGTTAAAGCCAAACAGGTACTGTGCTGCCAGACGGAGTGTCATGTTTCCTGTATCAACTGTGTGTGTTAGCAAGAGTGACACACACATCTGCTGTTACCCAAACACACCCCTCAGTGTGGTTCATTTCACCATCTCATTTCTGAGCACAGTAAACCATCAGATCTTTTTAAATACACTTCAAGATAAACACACCATGAAATGTGCATTCTAATAGGGTTAAGGCATTGAGTACAGCAGTGTCAAATGTATTTCTGCACAAAATCTCTAACAAATGATATTGCTGGCAAAGAAAACAACTTGAATTGGGAAAAGGAAAAAGTGTTTTGTCAGAACCTGAATCCCTCACCTCCATCCGTCTCCCCTGACGTGCTCTCTGTTGGATTCTCCTCTGGGAGGGGGGGGGGCGTCTGCTGGAAGAGGCTCTTTCCTCACAACATTCACCAGCCTCTGCAGCTCTTCAGGAGCCTGAGGACAGACACACATGCAAGTGTTTGATTTGTATTTCTATGCATTTAAATGTATGTGTACGGGAGAGGATTAGGGTCAGATGAAAACAATTTTTTGGGGATGTGAAGAAGAAAAAAGTTTTTTTTTGACTGACCTGACTTTTTTCTCAGAATTCTGACTTTAATCTCAGAATTCTGACTTTTTTCACATCCCCACATTTTTGTTTTCGTGTGGCCCTAATCCTCTTCTGTATATGTTTGACTTTTTGGTATACTGTACATATTATTTGGTCGGTTTGCTTTGCCAAAATGTTATTGGATATATGGCATAGGCTTAGGCATGTTCTTTGTATTGTTGTATTTATATTGTGTGAAAAACAAAGTACATGTATGGGCAAAATGGTTAAATAATTTAAAAGAGTTAAACCACAATTTCAAAAATTAGTTTTTTCTGCAATTATATATTTTTTGACACTTACACAAAACATTTTATACATTAAACTTAGTTTCTTCTCACCATTTTCTGTAGGTCATCATTCCCGCCTACATGAATATTGTTGAAGAAGATCTGAGGCACGGAGCTGCGTCCGGTCAGCTGCTTCACCCTGGCTCTGAGCTCCGGATGCTTCCCCACATCCACGTCACACACTGGGACCCCCAGACCCCCCAGGGTGGCTTTAGCCTGCACACAGTGTGGGCAGCCCTGGATTGAGTACACCGTGACCCGGCCCAGAGAACTGCTCTCAAACTCCTCCATCTGCTGCAATAAAGGAAACATAAGAAAGCTAAATGTTTTAAACTTCGACTGCCAGATAAAAGAAATGCTGCGCTCCCTGTTTTTCCTGATCAACGATATGATTCACATGTGTACACAGGTACTTTATTCAACACACTTAAATGTTGTTGAATTCCAATGTATAAGCGACATACCTTTTGGCCTGAATAAAGCTTTAAACAATTGCATTTCTCTGGGTTAGCTTGTGGATTCCAATTTTTGACTTTTTCAAGTCTTTATATCGTTGAAAGTGTAATTCTACGCTTTTTGGGCTTTTTGTGTTATTGGGTAGCTCCATATTGTCTGTGTTTTATTCATGCATGAAGAGTTGGTTTCTGTAGCTTAATGCTAGTTAGGAGCAAGACTTTTATTTTAATGATATTCGGAATAATATTAAAAAACAGTTTTGAACCCAATCCTTTCCTCTATCCGGATCTATAATATTTAACAAAAAATCAATGTTACAAATATGAAGAAATGTTATAATGCAACGTCAGAAAATATATTCAATCCTAATTCCCCCTACTTAGTGTTTCAGACTCTTGAAAGACTGATTTAAAAACAATTTAATAGTGTGATTTGCCTAAATGTGAAAAATGTTTGTTTGTATACCTACACTTTTCTTTGTTGACACTTAAAGCATGAAATTGGTAGTACAAAGAAAACTGCAGGTTTAAAATGTATGATTTATTCTGACTTCTATTTAGACAAGATCCAGGACATACTAATTATTTCATATCTGTTCCACTCTTTACAGATTTGTATCTCTCTCTTTCTTCTGATTTAATTTGTGCTTTCTCAGGAAGGAAACTGAGTTATTTAGCAAATGACTAAAGGAAAGAAGTTACTTTTTTTTGACAATTTCTAATAGTACTGTATGTTGAGTTATGTTGGCCAGTTGAGAGATTTAAACCAGTTTCTTTATTACTCTGGTTTGAGGAAATATGTTTGCATCATTTGGGAAATTACTTAAACAATTTCCTCTTAGCTCATTTCAGAACATGTCCTTGTGTTGAAAGCAGGCCACTGTGATGTGTAACGATGTGAAATGATAGAAACTGAAGTAAGCCAATAAAACAGTTCCTCATTGTGACAGAGTTTTAGTGCAGCAGTTAGGCAATATCAGCCTGTCAGGCTTATCAATCAATACCACACCTAGTGTTGAAAACATGGTCAAATTCCATGTCCTGATTTCTTAACAAAATAAATGCTTCCAAAAACAATATGCAAGTGAGAACATAACATTTGCATTAAAAACAGTCCACAAGCATTGACTCCACAAAATGTTCTTATTTTATAATTGATTTACTACTAAGGAATTTTCCCGTCCGCCTGTATATCAGCTTCATTTATACAGCATTTATACAGTAATAATACCTTATTCAGAATGTTGATAAAAGATGAATGCACATTAACTAAGCCTTTAAACCAACAAATTAACTCAAACTAAAGTTATACCAATATCCCGAATTGTAAAATAAAACGTATTATTATAGAAAATGTTTACATGTTAGTGGTTGTAAAGGGTTACTAACGAGCAATGCTAAAGTTACTTTAAATGTGCAAAGTTTCTTATGGAGTTTGGCACTGGATACGGTCGTTTGCTCCAATACCTAAGAAGCGATAATATCAACAGAGATTAAATCATTACACAAGTCGTTTAATGGCATACGATAAACAATATTTAACGATACAGGTATGTGTATACAAGCTAAACTATGCAGGGGCGAAAGGTTAAACAAGCTAATGTGGATCTATTATCAAAACATAGTGGTACGTTACCTTTACGCGATTTACTCCCTTTCGTTATTCGGCAGTACAGTTTTAAATCGTGCAGTTGCGTTCTTCTTTCCTGTGAATTAAAATGCTATGTGTGTTGCCAGCTGAGAGGTCGCTTATCTTGCAGGTGTATTTCCACACAGCTGCACTGGCAGAACATCATCATTGCGCAGGCTAGCTGCTTTTATTTAGCTAGCTATCTTGTCCTGTGATGCCTTCAGGTGCTCCTCGTAAATACGATTGATTATAAATAAAAACATCCAAAACCTAAATTACCAATACAAAAAAACAATCACATGTTTAAAACCTAAAACCAGATTTTTGTATCTGTGAACTGAATTCTGCATTTTGTTCTAATTAAAAGGTCCCCTTTTAACATGGCATATACAACCATACATGTAATTATTATCGAACAAAAAAAGGACTGCTTTGAAATGTAAAATAATCTATGAAATTCTAGTTAATCCTTAAAAACACGTTGGTCACATAACTTCTGATGATTTTCTTCAGATAGTAGAACCAAGTATTACGGGTTGTTGTTCATGTGTATTTAGGGTTAGGGTTAACCATATAAACAATAATTCCTATAGTCCTGAAAGCAGCTTGGTGTCCTCTGCAGAATGGTCGTACCATGGCTTTTTCCGGAACGTTTTCCCACTCATTCATGTTTCTGTACGGACACTTTTCTAGAAGGACACAAATAGAGGGAAGAGGATCTTAAGTTTCGTTATGCAGTGTCGAAAATGTCTGGACTGTCAGAAACAGAGCGAGCTGGATGTACAAAGTTACTGCAGTCTCTGTCAAAAGACGATGTATTCTCACTCAGTGACACAGTGACGAACAAGCTGATAGTTGTGGAGAATGTGACAGGTAACGTTGTACCAGATAACAAGTAGCAAGATAGCTAGCATACTATCAACTAAAGCTTACTTAACTTTAACTACAATCAATTGCCTTATATTTCAACAGACTGAACAAGTCAATGTTTAACATATATTTTATATTATTTAAATTATATTTTCGTGCCACAGACTTGGTGGGGCTATTTTGTCAGCTATAAATGTCTCAGACATGAACTAACATGACATTAGTTCAGAACATAAAAATGTGCATGAACTGACGCCAGGGACTGCTCGTGCGTTTTTTCTTATACCGAAAGAACATATGTTCAAATAATAACATCATCCATGTGCCTTTTCTTCATATGTTTGTATAGAGGCCATTGGAGCAATTATCACCTTTACTGAAAATGCTGAAGAGTTCCTGAAAAGGAAGAAGGTTCATCGTGACCTCATATTTAAATACCTTGCCAATGAAGGTGTGGTGATGCCCCCAAACAGCGAGAAAAACAAGCTGGTGAAAAGGACCCTGGAGCTCTGGTCTTCTGGGAAGGTAGGGACAGGGTCAGGGTTAGAGCTGGTGCTCGGCCAGCAGTTCTGCCAGTGGTTCTTCCCACTCTTAAACAGTCAGAACCCCTCTCTGGGCCAGCCGCCTCAGGACTGGGGACCAAAACACTTCTGGCCTGATGCGAAGCTATGCCTTCTCTCCAGGTAAGAATGCCATTAACAGTAAGTACATTGAAATTAAGCTACTCTTAGAGATTCACCAAGCAAAATGTCAGGGTTGTCAGATAGTCTGACATTATGGTGACCGGCTATTCAATCTCATATATATGTGCTGTTCAAATTTACACACCTGGCTTAAAATGGTTTTATATCGTAAACACAGTGGCACTTGTCAGGGAATAATTTCCCCTGCATGTCATCTTTCGCCCTCTGACGCAGAGGCCCAGCCTTGGGCAGCATGCTATCTCCCTTAAGGAGGGGCTGCCCTAGCATTTTGTTGTTGTTACCAGTTTATGACCGGGCAACTCTCTGTCAGAGATAGTTATTGTTGTGGGACACCTGGAACACATCCTTCACTATGGGCTCAGAACAGTCTCATAATACACACATGCACACAGAAGGATTCACACTTGTATTTCATGATCCGCAAAAGGATTCACACTTGTGTTTCCGGATCCACACTTGTGTTTTTCAATGCACACACAAATGTGTTCCGTTTCATATACATTTTAAATAAAATCCAAATACAGAAAAAAGTTTTACATATGTATTTTTGATCCTCACATATTTGTTTTCCGTTTAAAACCGCTGCACCTACAAACACAAACCGCTTTCTGTGCATGGATTGCTGTGCATTCGTGTGTGGGTTTTTTGAGACTCCCCTGACGGTCACCCGATTCGTATTTGTAATTTTTTCTATCTATAGCCAATCAGATGTCTCCTCAATTCTAAGCCAATCACATAAGCGCGCCCCCACGAGGGTAGATTTCTTGCGTTCATGACGTAGCGCTTCATGTACGCATTTTGCGCTGTCCGGAGCTGACAGGTCCATGGAGCCTGCCTGCAGGCGCTAATCTCAGGACACTTCCACTCTCAGTACATTGCCACTTTCCGAACAGGAAATGCACGCAAATACAAGCCTTTATATTATTAAGGTACAGTGCCACTTTCCGAACCATTAATGAATGCTTGTGTACATAAAAACGGCAGGCAAAACCGTTTTAAATGTGTGTTTCCTGTATGGTGAATACAGCTGCTTTATTTATGTCTGTATGAAGTTGTTGTGAGTGTGGAGGGAGCAGCTTCAGGTTAGCTTAGCCTAATCGATCAGTGCACTACGAAGCCAGTGCTAGACAGTGAACTGTCAACGGGGGGAGCCCCGCCGGTCATTATCGGCCGATATTCACTTTTAATAGTTTGATCGGTGCTCTCTATAAAGGCCGATCAGGAGAGCTGGATCTGATCGATATGGACATAAACGCGAGTGAAGTTTTAGCGAGCTGCATGAGAAACTGACGGGCTGTCAGGAGAGAGGGAGGGAGAGAGGAAAAGAGAGGAGCCGTTACTCCCGTGTTATTAGCCATATCCGGTCATAGTCCGGTAATTACCTGCTAACGGAAACTCTGCTACACAATTCTTATTATTAATATTATTATTGAAACATGACCGGTAAGTTTCAAATTTGTCCGGTAAAATAAATTCTGTCTGCGGAAACCCTGCTCCGGACAGCGCAAAATGCGTATATGAAGTGTCATGAACGCAATAAATCATACCCTCGTGGGGACGCGCTCATGTGATTGGCTTAGAATTGAGGAGACATCTGATTGGCTATAGATAGAAAATTACAAGTACGAATCGGGTCACCGTCAGGGGAGTCTCAAAAAACCCACACACGATTGCACAGCGATCCATGCACAGAAAGCGGTTTGTGTTTGCAGGTGCAGGGGATTCAAACGGAAAACAAATATGTGAGGATCAAAAATACATATGTAAAACTTTTTTCTGTATTTGGATTTTATTTACATGTATATGAAACGGAACACATTTGTGTGTGCATTGAAAAACACAAGTGTGGATCCGGAAATACAAGTGTGAATCCTTCTTTGTGCATGTGTGTATTATGAGACTGTTCTGAGCCCATAGATGACCCCGAGCCATAAGCGACAACAACTGTGATTCAGTGTCCTCAGCTGTTTAGTCTATCTATTGAAGAATGTTGATTATTACACTCTGAACTAGTTAAAACCTCGAGCTACAGGAGGGTTCTTCAGAATTGATTGTGGCATCTCAACCGTGTGGTCAGATCGTGGCCCGTGACATGTCTTGTGAATTCTCCGGCCGAAGCTCCAAATAAACCGTCAGTGTTTGCCATCAAAGCTCCAGCTCTCCTCGTGTCTCTCTGAGTCCTGACTCCAATTGCTTCAGGAGTTTCCCCCACAGCACTAAAGGCCCTGACACACCAGGCCGAAATCGGCCGTTTTCGTTAATCGGACGACAAAGCGTGCCCTGTCGCCCAAACTCAATTTGGTGTGTCCCGCACCGTCGGCCGTGACACGTCTTATTTGGCCTTTCATGGCCGACGCACGGCTGATTCAACATGTCGGCCACAGGCCAAAGAAATCACTCTGATTGGCTGTTCAGCTAGCAAATCAGTGCATGAGAAGCGAAACGGTTGCTTGAGAATATCTTTCACAAGCAACACTCCAATGGCTGATAGCTCCAGTACCGCACGAAACATGTTTTCGATGGACGAGAGTGAAAATGGAACGCACACACTATTTGTTGTTTGTTTAGATCACGCAGTCTCTTCTTCTTCTTCTCTGTCTTCCGGTTGTTGTCTCTTTTGAATGACGAATACACACTACCGCCGCCTGCTGGTAAGGAGAGTTATTGCCACTCACGCATGCGCAGTTTGTACGTGCTCGGCTGAAGTCTTTGCGGTGTGTTCCAGTGCGACACATGGCCAAGACGCAGAAGAACACGGCGACGCAACAGTCGGCGTCGGCGAGTTCTCTGGTGACTGCTTGGTGTGTCAGGGCCTTAACAGTAACATAGCAGCCACACACACACACAGAATCCTTCCTCTGTCAGGTAATGTGGGGCAGACAGGAGGACGCCTCAAGTTATTATATTATGCATACCTTTACATTCTTGTAAATAGATACGATTCATAGAGATTTATTTCAAAGAATGCAACATACAATTGAATTTTCCATTCAAGAAAAAGTTACAAAATGTTTGTGTATGCTGTCAATTATGTTTTTTAGAAAGACAATTGGAATGGTAGGTCTTAAAAAGACTTTAAAACATAATCAGAATTTGGAAAGTGTATTGCAATATATCTTTTTCTTATAATGATATGTGGTTTGTTGGACTCTCAATGTTCAAATCAGTTATTTATTTTGGGTAGGACCAACTGAACCAATTGTCTTCAACTTTTCTGTATACAAAATGACCATCAGAATGATTTGTGAGATATGATAAGCACCTTTCACACATACAGTAAAGGCTTGAACTAAAGCAGTCACAATACATTTTGGGAAAATAACCCAAAAACTAAACCGTGATGACAGAGCTGTGTCTCTGTTCTCAGAGCTGGCAGCGAGCAGATGGAGGAGTTCCTGGGGGCTGAGCTGGTCAGCCTGCGTCTCCTGGCTCTGACCCGGGACGAGCAGGTCCTCCTCAGCCCCAACCTGGAGCCCCAGGGCCTCAGGACCCTGGCCTCCCCCCACGGCCTGGTGCTGGTGGCAGTAGCCGGGACCATCCACAGAGACGGAGCTTGTCTGGGCGTGTTTGAGCAAATATTTGGCCTCATCCGCTCCCCGCTGGAGAACAACAGCTGGAAGATCAAGTTCGTCAACCTGAAGATCAGAGGGCAGGACTCTCTGGCGGGCGCAGAGACGGCAGCGCCCACCTTGACTTACAACTCCACTGAATTGCAACTTCTCTTCAGTTGATGAGACACTTTATTTGTTGATGTTTAGCATGTCAGGATGTAGGGTTAGGTTCTCACTGTTTCATCTAAATCTACTCGGCATATTGTTGATGTAACATGAACACAGGACAAAACCCGAGAAAAAGAATATTGTTTTCGGCTTTCTAGAAAATATAAGTTTGCTGCTTCTTGTTGTGGAAATATTTTATTTAACTTTATAATGTACTTTTATAAAACATGTTGCTCTTTCATCTTTTGCCTTACTTAAAATACAATGTAAATACAGACATGGATGGGCTTTTGTATATATGTATCAAAATAAATAAATGTAGGTATATCTCAATGTATCCGGGCAGTTATTTCTCTTTCTGGTTTTACTTGTTGATATGAGTGATTCACACTTTTTGTACACACAGTATACAAACAGTTTCTTGATGTTTCCTTGATGATGACACTATTGCTGAATCACTGCGTTGTGGCAATAAGTGGCAGTGAAGTATCCTGTGATTATCAGCAGTAGCATGGAAAAGCATATTAGTCTTACTCCATTTTACATTGTGATAGCATAGTGCACAGCTGTTGGGAGAATAGCAGCCTAGTTGTTATGTTTTTGTTCTCGTTCTATTCATCCCGGGGCACAGTGTAATTTGGCACAACATTTGCCTGATGAATGTAAGTCCCATTCAGCCTCAACCTAAACACAACGAGGATTACTTTGAGTTACTTCCCTTGTTCACACGGAGGCCAGATGCTGTGCAGTCCCGCAGCTCAGACTGATGCTGTATTGAAGGTATAATCATATAATTTCCCCAAGTATTATCCACATGAGCAGATCCGTGTTGCTTTTCTCAAGTCGAAACTCCTCTCACAGATGTGATCATTATAGTATTTCACTGCGAAGAAAGATGTTTTGTCTGATTATCATAGTTGGAATGTATGTGAGTAGATGCATTTTTGTCACATTTGTTTCATATTTGGGACTTCCATCCCTCATAGACCAGCAGAGGACAAGCATCTGTACATTGTGCAGTGACAAAGTACATATATATATATATACTCAACTACATTTTGTAGGGAAATATTATTTTATTTTACTTTAATACCAATACATTTATTTAACACTAGCTACTTTGTACTTCCTATTAAAACACATGATATGCAAAGTAATAAGACATGATGTAGTAGCCTACTTTACTGCCGATGTACCCAGTATTTAAAAAAAACAAAAAAAACATTGACAACATAAATCAATATTCTTTTAACCGGTATTTGAACATCATCATTTACTTTTGGTACTTGGAGTTCATTTCTGCTGATTATACTTCTGTATGTCTACTAAGAGCATTTTCTATTCAGGACTTTAACTTCTGATTGAGTATTTTGAGACCATTATATGTTTGCTTTTAGTTAAGTAAAGGACTTTTTCCAAAACATACATTGTGTCCAAACCAAAGCCTGTCACCAACCCCCGATGATAAAGGGCACGTTTTTGGGCAAGTATTCAATATCCATAAATGTGACCCTCTCCATGCTGTCGGGTTTGATTGCAGGATCTGTTATATTTAATATTTAACATCTTATTTGTTTCTGGCCAAAATGCATATGACACACAAATCATTTGTTACACTCTTTGTTACAATTTGGAAACAGCAAAACTTCTGCCTTGAAAAAGTGAAAAATAAATCAAGTCCGCCCTCATTGCATCCCTGACAGCAGCAGGTTCAGCCTCATTGGCACTCAGTACCAATACCAAAAATATCAAGGGTGAAAGGGTATGAGTCAGGAGGGAGGAGGGGATCTGGCCTCCTCATCATTAACACAGGTCATGAGTTGCTGAGCAACAGCTTAGCAACACCCATACAGTCTATGGTAACACCCGATGGGAGCCTGAAAAGACTCCATCAATATATATCCCTTTAACAGCTTATCCTTTCTGATTGACTGGTACTTTTATTTACCTGTACAAAACACCATTTTCTTTGATATGCTCATATGTCCTATTAATTGGACAAAACGAATACATTTCATAAGCTCCTAATGAAGACGTTATTGGTGAAGTGGATCTAGTTTTCCGTTGATTACTCTGCCATCCCCGGCAGGGCACATGGGGTCTGGTGGGTACAGAATATGCCATTCTGACTCTGTGGCTTTGGTGGGAAATGTTACATGTGGGAAATTATTCTTGGCAGCTGTTCTCAAAGGCTCCTGGAATACTTAATATCTGTGACTGTATGGGTCGGAGCCGCATGGCTCTTTGTGCTTTACTGGGCCATAGTTGTGGTGAGGGGAAACCACTGCAGCCATTGATCTCAGCCTGTTCACCTCTCAGAAAGAATAATAACAAGCTGCTCGCCTTCTGTCTTTATGGCACTTGGCTTCTCTGAGTTTTAATAAGCGGTTTGGCCACGGGCGCAGCTCTGACGCATGGGTTCAAAAATACCGTTACAGTGGCGTCTGGTGATGGTTTTGACTCTGAAAGCTTTTTTTTTCTCTTACATTTTCTTTCCCCTCCTCTAATAGGGAAGTGTGTTTCTCATAAAAAAACATGCGAAAACTTCGATGCATGGCTCTTTGAAATAGCTTATGGGTGGTGAACCATGGAGACTGCTGCTTTAATTGTCAATCCATTTTTCCCCACCTTTTACTTTGATTGTGACTGATTGGATGTTGGGTTTGCTCATAGAAACTGCTTCATTAGGTTTCAAACATTACTTTATTAAACGCTTCACGCCACAGCCATTTTCCACTGTGTGACAATCTGATGGTTTTACACATCCATTAATGCCAAAGTGCATTTTTTTTAAATGTCTACAGCAGTAATTCTCAAAGTGGGGCGTGGGGACACCCAGGATTTTCTCAGCGAGTTGAAGGAGTCCTTGAAGTGGTATTATGCAAAATGAGTCTCATCTTTATAGTGTTTATTAATAGAAATGATCTGAGTGGCTAGAATAACACATGCATGTCCCATTCTCTCAATAAACCTCCAGCTTGTAAAATAGACATTTACTCAATCATTTCATAAATGTGCCCGTACTGTTTGGGTCTTTTTGAAGTAACTTGTGTCCTTATGTGATTTTGGATTTATACAAGAAGTACCATGTTAATATTTCATTTATTTTGCTCAGTGATCCGTCAATTTGATTTGACCTCATGGCGACATGAGGCCAGAAGAGGGCAGACAAGCTGCACCAGAGAGAAGACAGACTTTGATCCCGGGCCAAGAGAAGAGTGGAGTGAAAAAAATCCTTTTAACACTATTACTTGAGGAAACTCATAAATTCCTCAGAGCAATCTGATGTTACCAGGCAATATCTATCCAGCCAATGCCATGAGGAAAACCGTACATTTTTCGATTTTTGAATTGTCCTCCATTAAAGTAATGGGGTTCTAAAAGAGAGACCCGTTAAACTGTTGTCTTTCATAGGCATCAGAGCACGTATTTCACAAGTTATTGAAGTGTCAGTAATTTATCTGTACCCGTGAAGGTGTCAAAGACCATTTTTACACAATACTCTCAGCGGTCTGCATTCTCTGGACAATAAAGACAATGATTTATGATTGGGAAGGGGACGCAATCAATAGGCCATGATATTTCTCCCGCTGACAAAACATGCTGGAGGAGAATTCAATCACAGTTTGACGTAGTTGTCATTTTTGTTGGACTTGCCCTCCAACCCAACAGTGTTTCATAAACCAGTACACACTAACACTGCACAGAAACCACCACATAACTGGAGGAGGAGGGGGGAATGAGGTCAACAGAGTTTGGCGTTGGTGTTAAAACCACAATCCACAATACTCCAACCTCACACTTTCTGTTTGCTCAGGAGGGGTTAGGATTTCATTATTTGTTTTGATTATAGGGCGACAAACTGCTTTGGCTTATTGCACTTTTTATTTATTGCAATTTGAATTGCTCTAGAGCTTTCATTTGAGTAAAGTTAATTATCCGTACATTTTAAGTTGTTCCCAACAACATTATTGATGTTTTGAGTGTCCCGACATCTATTTTATTATTACCCAAGAGAAAAACATCTTGTACGGTCAACTCTAGCCATAAAGTAGTGGTTGTTTCCTGAAAAGGTCTACTTAGACTCAATATGCAAGCAAAGTGATACCATTTGCATTTTAAGGACATTACACAGAGAGGTAATGAGTTCAACAACATTGTGGCATCTGTAGAATCAGGTTTGGCCTCATGTTGGTTTGACCTTACGTAACCTGTTGGGAATGGGCCTGAGCCTTTACAGTCAGTGTGCATCACAGATCTCCCCTAATCACTCTTCATTTCACTCCCCGATGTCCGAGCTGACTTCATTGTTCCGTTTCAACACAAATTGGTTTGGACCGAGGAGGCAGCCGTCACAGTTCATATCAGCCCCTCTCCTGGCCTGGCGGTGTATCCTTACACATGCATCATTATCTCACGTAAACACTGGAAACTGGAGACCGCCGGGGGAACAAACGCCATTCAACGCAACAAAGCGAGGGGCTGAGTGAAAAGATCCTGGGCGGTGACACTCTCGCTTAGCGTCAATTAAAGAAAACAACAAGCAGAGACGTTCCTGGAGGCAGCTGGGTCCAAAGTTTGTATTTATACTGAGGCAAATATGCATGTTTGAGGTGAATGCACCAGCCAAGGATGTTTCAATCAGGAAAACATGGATGGAGAACAAACATGTCCCTCACATTGAGATGTACTTGAGTTGATCTCACAACACAATGCCCTCCCTCCCATCTCTCTTTATCTCTTTATGTCCCTCTCCTTCTCTCACACATAGTGGCTCCACTGTGCAGCTTTGCACTGAGTCCCTTCAGTATGCAGTGCAAGGGCCCCGCTGAGGGCCTTCCCTTGGCTCTCGAACCAAACAGAGAAGATGGTGTTATCAGAGTGCTGCCAGGAGGTTGTCAGCTCGTATTGGGCCGGGCTGACCGAGTGGCCGGTTGGCGGATGCGTGTCCATGCCAGGCTCCCAGCGCCTCCCCTCCATGGACATCTGCTGCGTGTGGAAAAGCTGTGCAGTTTGTCTGCGGCTGCATCTTAATCCTCCATCTCTTCGGCTGCAGCCATGCCTGGCCGAGCAAACCAGCAGCTCTGCTCGCCTTGCTTGTATTAATTGCCCTTGCCTGGCTCGCTGTTTGCTTCTGATTACACTCATTAATTTCAATTCCCCAGGAAGCCACCACCACCACCACCGTAGCTGCCTTTAGACAGGCACACACACACACGCACACGGCACGCACACGCACACACAAACATGCATGGACAGGCGTAAATGTACGAACGGTGTTAGATATTCAAAATGTTTTGTCTCTGCATGTTCTCATTTAGCACACCTACATACAGT